GTATAGCAAGGCTGCAAAAGTTGTGGCAACCATTTTGTTAGGGCTGAATCCTACTTAGTAACGTTACCTCGTTACTAATAATTTGGTAAAATTTATTACATTTTGCTTGAAAAAAATTTTGCGGTTCATTCAAACTATTACTTAATGGCACTTTATGTCACAGTCACATGCCCTTCTCACTTTTTTGTCTCCTCTCTCTGTCTCATTACAGATGCAATGATACCCATGACAATTGATGGTACAGTGTGGTTGATTCAAACTATGATTGAGATGAAGGATTTGTCTGATCTGTTTCAAAAGCAGTCCAGGTTTTAGGTACATCTAGCCCTCTCTGACTTTAGAGTCAATTGCTGACTTCTCATTAGCTCTTGTTTCTCACAGAGACTCGTGGCAGGTAATGATGATATATATTATTATTTTATGTAGCTACATGTACATACATGTTGTAAAATGTACATAGTTTGGAGTTGTTAATTTGGGCAAATTGCTGTTTACATTTTAAGGTTTTCGAAATTAAAAATTGTTATGAAGGCTGTTTGTTGTTTTACCATGCTCACATCTTAAATAAAAATTTTAGTTTACGTTAAAATTTTACTTGCCTAAATTATCTACTTGGTGGTACGTATGTACATGTACATGCAGGATGTGTAGTTCTTTATTTATATGTATGTAATTTTACTACGTGTATTTTTGTTCTTTTACATTTGGATGTACAGTGATGTGCACATGTACGTAGATACGTGAATGTACATGCACACAGTTTTTCATTTTCTGTTGCTACATGCATATTAGTTGTAATCAAATTAATTAATCTTCATCTTTAATTGTGACCGAGACTGACAAAAGGTAACCATTGCAGATTTTAATATTAATCATTATAATGAAAAATATCAAACTCTGAGTGCCCTGAGAAACAAGCATTACTTCGTATAAGTTTCATAGTAGCTTTTTCCATCCTGTGGAATCATTTCATGATAATTGAATCTCAGGAAGTTAGATTTTTGTGGCTACAAGGATAAACTTTACCACCGCCGTATCTTTTGTCAATTATGGTTAAAATTGATACAACTGTATCACATACTGTGTGTACATGTACATGTAGATATATAATATGAAGCAGTTACCTATTCATCCTTGTGAGCTGGGAGTAACTGAATGGAATGATCATTCCTCTCATACAAAATGGTGTTACTATGGGCATTCAATGGAATGGGTTATTAAACTAGCACTTCAGTAGGCTAATAATGATAATAATAATAATCATAGTTAATAATAATAATAATAAGAATAATAATAATAAATAATAATAATAATTGTGACCATAATTGACAAAAGGTACCTTATGGCAGATAGGAAAATTGATCTTTATAGCCTTAAAAATCATACTTCCTGGGCTCCATTTATCATAAAATTGCTCCAGAGGATGCAAAAAGTTACTATGTAACTTTTAGAAACAATTGTTGACTAACAGAGCACTCACAGGCTGACATTTTTTATCATAATGATGAATTTTAAAATCCGCCATAAGGTACCTTTTGTCAATTATGGTCACAATTATTATAAATAACAACGATAATAAGTTATACTTTATTTTATTGCTTTTCTACTATTTTTCCTGGAATGATTGTTGATAGGGATGATGGTTAGTTCTTGATAATAGTCAACTAATTAATTGATTAACATTACTATTAGCTAGTGCATCAACTTGAGGCTCTATGCTATTGGCTATGTTGTCACGAAATGACTCTGTCCCTTTTTTCCCTTCCACTTCCTTCCCTCTTCTCCTCTCCTTACACTATTATATTGACTGACAGATGGGGCATTGTTGGGAATCAATATGGGATCAAAAGGGGATCAAAAGAAAGCAGGTTAAAATTCAATCTCGAAAATTAAGAAGCTGTAGAAATTATTGTATTACAAGGAAGTATTAACGCATGTTAAAGCCACTTATTTTACTGTTATTGATCTGGTGTGCACTCATTTTTTTGCCTCGCCAGCAATTAGTGTGGGCAAGAACTATGTTTCTAAGTATGTTATCTGCAGACATTTGGTCAAGCGCTTGGTGCATGTACGTAAGCACAATGAAGCAAAGCTTTTAAAGTACTTACATTTATAATCAAGTTTTAAAAGTGCTTTTAATCAGAGCAAAAAGTTCATGTGGATAATGTACATGTACATGTAGTGGTTACACAGTTCAGTAAAATTGTAGTAACAGTAGTACACCAGTTTAGTAGCACGTTGCATGACAGTGTGTGTGTAACATGTATTGGTATCACATGTACAGTGTACAATGAACTACTATAATTGTAATTTTACTTCATTGCCTCAGGATTAACTAGAAATTAAATGTAAGAAATTTTACTTGGTACATGTACATGTTCCTCATGATTTCATTTGTTCTTCTAGTTAATTCTTTGCTAAATACACAATTCCCGTGTCATTGAATAAAGTGCATCATATGACATGTACATGTATTTGCAAGTTGTATGACATACTCAATACATTGGTATCTTTCTAGTGCTGGAAAATTATTTACATAATATTCCTTGCCCCAGTGACTACTGAAATTAAATAAATTTTCATCATCATTGTCATCATTATCCTTTGGATGGTGATGAAAATTAGGTACTGAGAAGGTGTCACTGGAGTTTCTTATAGCTAGAAATTTAATTATTTAGTGAACTTAATTTGACTTAAATGTTTCAACAAAAACATGCTTTGTTCATTGATTAACTTGTCCAATTCTTCAAATGCCGAGTGAATAAGGAAACAATCCTATACATTTACAGTACAATAAACAGTAAAAGTAACTTACCCCTATTTTCTCGCACTAAATATTTCCTTTCTGGAAAGTGTTTGATTATTGCACTTCATATAATAACTCACAGCTCAAATTTATTATTAATTACACTTTATGTGGTACATCATACCTAGTTGCAAGAATCCATTGCTTTATTGTTTCATTTGCATGAGTTTCAAATACTCTTATTTTCTTCATTATAAATTCTTACTAAAAATATTTTATGGAACATGTACATGCACTTTTGATATTAAGTGTGCAGCATAGTAATTGGTCCTGTGTGCAACAAAATATTTTATTTGTCTTTGGTAGTAATGTACTGCAGCCTAACAAAAAACCCTGCATATGTTTGTTGCATTTGTAAAGTGTATCTATATGATGTAGTCTTATATCTTAGTGTTGTTTGACTTGGAGCCCAGCATCTTCTTTTAGGCAGAGTCTCATTTTTAAAGAAATGATTTGCCAAATGGAACCTTATGCTAAATAAATTTCTTTCTTATATTCTGCGGTAAATGCATGCGCATTGCACTTGAGTACTTGATGAAAAGTTACAAGTTGTAAAATTCGTTTAACTGGTTTTGGGATACAGTGCATTTGTTTGAAGACTATAATGTACATGCATAGATTAACTGTTCTGCAATTCATTGATGTACATATCTAGGTGTGAACTTAGATTAAATTTCCTTTCTGCTATAGTTTGAAGAATTGGTTTATGGGACTAAAAGCATATCATTTTACCCTTTTTCTGGCTACAAAAACAGAACAAATTATGTGTGTACTACTATGAAGCTGTTGTTTACAGCATTGCATCATGTAGATCGGTTAATCTAAGGGAAAAATCTCACGATCTCAGTCTATTTGTGCTTTATAACGTGAGACTCTCCTTTTTTATTGCACACAAACTTTCTCTTTTCACTTCATTTTTCATTATGAGAATTGGAGGCGTTGTCACTATTTTTATGTATGTTTCTTTGAGCAGCTTAGCAGTTTCCTGAAAAGTTTGTAAATGAGTGAGTATAATGGCACTCACAGTTTACATCTATTATCATGCCATCCTTCTGGTTATATTTTTAGGTGGTGTTGTTTGCTGGATACAGTTGGTAGCTCATACTATAAGGATACTTTGTCATGTGGAAGTTAAACTAGTTTTGAGTACACTTTATTTATTGTAACTCAAGACCTTTGCTAAATATACTCAACCTGGATACAGTAAGGAAGTAAGCAATGCACACTTGGATAATTTTCTTTGTCATAGATTTTTACAGGCAAAATTATCTTCATTGTTCATTGATGATTAAAATCTATTACTAGAAGTATTTGTAAATTTTAGAATTTTTCATATCTTCTTATACATAAAAGGTGATGAATATGTGAAAGGCACGCATAATACATTGTTTCAAACTATATGGGTGAATTTCTGTACAATTATGACAGCAACTTTAAATTGCAATAATGAGTATGTAATTAATGAAACATTTGCGAAACAAATAATTAGAATTAGAACTAATACGGCTTGGGGGTTAAGCGCGCGCCACAACGGCCACATGGTACACACTACGTACTGTAGTCGACAGCTTATTATGAGTAGTCACAGTAGCTTAACTGAAACTGACGTTCCAGGAGCTTCTCATGGTGGTAGACATCTCAATTCATTAAAAGTAGAGGAATTAAAAGATGGCTTTTATGTAGAGGAGCATCTCTACGAGGCAAAAAGTCTGACTTGGTGCTAAGGTAAGCTATAGGGCCTCATTTTGGCGGCCAGTATTTCAGCTGCATTTTACGTTGTGGGCATATTCAGTCAATTGAAGTATCTACCAATGGCAATACATTATCTATGAGAGCTAAGTGCCTTCCAGAAATGAGAAAGGATAGAGTTTACAAGTTGAATGTATCAAGTTCAATGGTACAAGTTCAATTGTTTGCTTCTTCTGATTTGTATAGCTGGTGTGATTTCTGTGTTTACACAAAACATGGTGTTATGGTAGAGAGAATTATTCCTGATTATGACTGGGTAGAAACAAACATTCATGTACTTAAAGAATATTTTGTTTGCCACATTCTTCTTGAGATATTGCACCCAGTACTTAAACCACCATATTATTTGTGACTTAAACATATAGTTGATCTACATCAATGTAATGTATTACATAATATATATATATATAATAAATATACATAAAGATAATTTCTAAATTTATAATCATGAGCATAAAGGAGGCCAGAAATTAGATAATACTGCACAAACAAAAAATATTTGATTAGCTAAATCAGTCAGTGAAGATGGTAGTGATCTATCAAATATATGGAAGTTCTTAATTCTTCCCATCATTCGTTCAACATGCACACGTTCTGAAGCTATTCTACGAGTTTCTATCATTTCATTTGCATCAAGCTGGCTTTTGCCTCTTAAAAATGGTGGTATGTTAACTTTAACTCCAATAGGAGTCAAATCATCCTGTATGTCAAAACCTCTGTCTGCCATTACACTGTCTCCTTTCTCTAGCAACTTCAAAATACCACTAAAATGAATCAGTTTTTTATCTGATATACTGCCAGGGTAAAGATCAGATACAAATGTTACTGCACCAGATGGAGATATTCCTACTAAAACCTTGTAAGTGTTATCATTTTTATATGTAGAAAATGTTAACTGTTGCACATCAGGAAGAGAAGGCTTTTCTACATATATCTTGCCAGCATCTATTATCACTCGTGTGGAAGGGTATTTCTCTGAAAAATGAGCTGGCATACTGTTATTGATAACTTGCCTTGGAGGCCATAAAGGAATTTCCTTAAATTTAAGATTCAGAAAGTTGATCCAAGTAGTAAATATTCTAGATACAGTTGAGCAACTTATGTTAAATCTATCAGCCAAATCTTCTTCAAATAGACCAAGACGTAATCGAACCAGAACCATAAAAAACTCTTCAAGTGGTGCAAGTGCTCTAGGTCTTCCTCTACCTTTAAAGTCTGCCTTTATCTCAGATTTACCTCCATTCCAATATATTAGGTTGTCTACTGCAGGGCCCAAAAACCTATAGCAGGCATTTAAACTTTGCAGTGAAGGAAATCCCGTGTAGTATGTCTCTTTATTTCTTGCCACTACATAGCTAAGACAAAATTTACATGATTCCAGTTTAAATTTTAGCTTTTCTATTTCATTTTTAAACTGAAACTTCTCTGTTTTCAGTACTTCAACTTGCAAATTGCTCTGCGGATTTGACGTAGTCATGCATGTAGATGCATCAACCATGTGACATGATGATGATGGCTCTTCTTGCTGCGGTGAGGCTACTGTTGATCTTACTTTTGGTGGCTTTCGTTGCTTCAATAATACTTGGTTCAATACAGCAGGTAAATTTTCAGTTGGGAACTCGTCAAACCTCAGTTGGCGTCCATTAGATTCGATGAAGTGGCCCGGGCACTGCAAACTCGAGAGTTAGCATTGATGGGTAGGTTCTTCCTCCTAATTTTATGCACCCATATGTTTAAGAGATTCTTTCTCTTTAATGGAAGACGAAATGAAATCCTTGGATGTGTAATCGAACTATTAGTACAGCCAGGAACAACACAGTAGTGTGGCATTACTACATTTGTACGTGAGTACTTTAATCGTCTTTAAGCAACACCCCCAAGCCGTATTAGTTCTAATTCTAATTATTAGTTTTGCAACTGCCTCATTGATGTACCTCTCATTCATGTATTTGTCCCTCGTTCATGCAGTTAGCCAAATTCAAATTCGTAAAAAGTGAAACAAGTAATTCTAATTTTAAGAAAAACAATATGACTTCAGATATACAAATTTGGTGGGTCATGCAAGGCACTATACAATCGTTTATTGTTTTGCATGTTGTATAGTTTTGATTCTGTCAATGCTTTTTTCACATTTAAGTTACAGCCACTTATTACATACATGTATGCTTCCTATTATGCCAAGTTTGTAAAGTATTTGTCCTGTAAAAAATTATTTGCAGACACATTTATCTATATAAGTTCTGTCTTTAATGCTAGGACAAATGATAGTTAGAAAAATAATAAATTTCTATTTCTGTTTTTTTATGTAGTTTTATTTACTCAATATCTAGAAATATGCTTACTAAAGTATATAGTTGCATTGAGTTAAATATTGATAATAATATACTGTACTTGTACATTATTTGTCAACATTGTCAATTTTGTATGACTGCTCTGCTCTCTTTCATCTTTTTTGCTCTTTTATCTGGATGTCTGATGATAGTGCATGATTCCATGAATTTGGAGAATTGTAAGAATCAGACGTGATGAATGGATGATGTCATTTTAAGTCGATTTTAAGTCATTTTAAGTACTGTTAGGACAATGAAGTTATACAATAGTTGTAATGTTACAGTACCTACATGTAGGCATGTTTATGGCTAGTTATACAATAGTCATAATGTTACATGTAAGCATATCTTTCACTCTTAGCATGCTGTTTAGGTGCTTTATTTATAGTTTTTTTGTTATAAATGTAACGTACACTTATGTGCCTTGCTGGTGCACTCTGTTGCTCTAATTTGTAGTGTACAGCCATTGAGAGCTTGTTGACAATAATAATAAATTAACCTATTGTATTACCAATAAATATTGTTATTAAAGAATAAAATTTTAAACAATTTATCATTAAAACCTCATGTAATATTACAGTAACTTAAAAACAAAAGATTGTAGAGCTAGTCCACTATGTAGAAGTAGTACTCTCAACCAAGTTTTTTCGGACCTATTACAGTACACACATATAACATTGAAGTTGATATATGCAAATCGACATGTAGCTAGACACACTGAAAAAGGTGGACTGATGCTTGTAAAAATGTGCACAAGGCAAAACACAAATTTGGCAATGATGCATGTCACAAATTATTAATAATTAATAAACATGAATCAATTAGTACAAAATACGTTCTGTGATTCTACAGAATTATCACTACTATGCTAGTCATAAACTTACTACAAATGGAGTGAAAAACATGAATCGTGTTAAGTTGTACATGGTAACATGCACGTATGAATATAAATAAACAGGAAGTGTAGATATCACAGCTAAAATGTTATCAATGCAGCAAATACTATATAGAATTATGACTCATGACTAATGAAACTGATTTTATAGAATCATCACTGCTATGAAACAATCACCATGAAGCTATTGTAGGTCAATTCAAAAACCATTTTGTGTGCTGTATACAGTGGAAGACAAAAGAATTTCATATGTTACAATTAAGAAATGCATATGGTATGCTTCTAAAAACGATCTGCGATGTGTACATCATGGTTGAAACGAACAAGGGAAAAAACATTTATACGATACATGTACGATTACAGAAGGTGTGCCGAACGATACATGTGATCTACAAAGGATAGTCTGTCACTCAGGCTTTCTACGATGACGAAAAAGAAGTACAGCACTGAGAAGAGAGCGAGAGGATGCAGCATCTGCAGCATCATGTTAAGATCGGTACTTAACAGAACAAAAGACAGGCGTAAGTAGCATGTTTGTTGCTCTACCGACTATACATTCTAGCGCAACTTATATTAGCGCACTTTGACGTTGATAACTCTGTGGCTGTAGTTAAGACAAGTTCTATTATCAGTAATTCAAATGTAGTAGTAGAAGTTTATGAAGTTAAAGCAGGGTCTAAATACTACTCTGCCAAGATACATGAGATTGGTGAGAAATTTCTTGTTGAGTTTTGCTGGTATTAAAAGATCATGACTTACATGTATATAGGAAATGAAGACACTATAGCAAGAGTGGAAGGGGCCTTTAAGACGGCTAAGGATGAGGAAGAGGAGCCTGAGTCTACTGGTACTGCATGTGGTAGTTCAGTTACTAAGTAATAGGCCACCTTAAACACTTGCTTCAGTTGCAAAAAAGATATGCTTGCTGTGTATTGTGCACGTGGAGCCACATATTATTGGACTGTGTAATGTGTATAGCTACGTTTTATTACTCGTGGAGCCACATATGATGATTGGACTGTGTAAAGTGGATAGCTACATTTTATTACTCGTGGAGCCACATATGATTGGACCGTGTAATGTGAATAGCTACATTTTATTACTTAAAATTAAGCCTCCTTAATTTGTTTGGTTTTCTTCATCTCAGAATTAATTTGATACCATTATGTACAGTAATTATTAATTATCCCTTTTTGTCATGGCATTGCTACTTCCTCTTTGTTGTAGAAATGGAACAAGAAGTTGAACCTACAGTGACAGACTCAATTATTACTACTTCTGATGTTACCAAAGAGAAAGAGAGTATAATTGAAAATTATGGAAATAGTGATTGAGCTTGCTCATTTTATTACCATTATAATAAAAACAACAAAACAAAATTAAGCTACATCCAGGCAAGATATTGGAAGTCATTATATTTACTGTAACGATTTTAGCAATGATGGTCATAGATAAGAGAAAGACAAAAGGCAAAGGAAGAGAAGACAAAAAAGGAGTCTCGTTCAATTATAACTGTTTCACACCACATCACTAATACAAAATCCACTATTGGTAAGCTTTTTAGTTTGTATTTGATTTTGTATTATATATTTGTAGTTGATGACCCTTTCAAGAAGAAAACTAGAAAATAAGTGTTGTTAATGCTCACAATGGTGAAGACAAAGATTATGGTAAGTTACATGCTTTTATTTGTATGATTTCAAAGGACCTAAATTCATTAGAAATTACTTACATAAGTGAAAAAGAAAGTGCAACTCCTGTGTAACATCTTAGTGAAACTCCTGTCTGAATTAAGTATCTAATCTATTTATTTTTGCTTGAACTTTGAATAACTATTATTGTAATTGCACATTATCAACATTTATTGTAACTATACAGTACAAAAGAACTTGTAAAGTGCCAAATTTTGCAGTTTTGTAATAAAATTAAGCAGCAGATATTTTATAGCTAATATGAATGTCGTTTGTACTTACAGATTCTTTAGATCTCGAATTGAACTGGGATGAATTTGAAACAACATTAACAAAAAAAGAAACAAAACTCAATGAAGCTCTTGTCGGAATTGCTGTATTAGAGAATTCCAAGTCATCTGTCAAACCAGTACCACAAGAACAACCTGCCTACACTCATGACTTGTCTCTATTTGATGAGAATGAGGAGGATCTACCATCACTGCCACCGCTGTTACTACCTGCAGAGACTTTGTCACCATTGAATCCTTTGAATGCTTTCCAATGTCCATACAGATACATGCCTGCTGCTCCATTGTATCCTCAACAGCAATTAGAGTCCTTACTATTATCATTATTCATTAGAGCAACCAGCCTTACTCCAATCCCCACCACTTCAACCTGTACAGCTATCAAATTTCTACAACACCTCACCCACTACTACCTCTTCTGTGTTTGCACCTTCAGGTGCTATTCCAAAGTGCTTTCCCATTCTGGGAAAGAAGAATGGTGCTACTACTATTCATGCAAGTATTAATATAGATAAAGAAAATCTTACTCCTTATGATACAGTGCTACAGAAGTACCCTTCCTTGCACCACGAGAGAGGTATAGGGACATTGGCAGTGAAGTTAGCTAGTGAAAGTTTCTTTGGCCTGGACATATTAAAGCAATGTACAGTAATGGGCTACTGTCCTTTCCTGCATTGCCACTTGAGAAATTGAATGAGTTAAAACGGGTCATATTTTCATTACTACCCAAATATTGGAATAATCAGAATGATTTTGAATCAAATATTTGGACTGTTTGTATCAACAGCATTTGACTATTGCAGAACAAAGTAAGCTATACTTGATGAAGGCTAAGCACAATCATTCCAATGATTATTAAATTTTAGTGATAATTAAAGTTTTAATGATTATTAAGCTCAATGTGAATCAAAGATAACAATAAATTACGCTACATTTAGCTACAATCAACAGTTTAAATGCATTACATGCAAGTATATACCGCAGGTCGGGATATATTCGCGGCTGCTTATTTTCGCAATTTTGTCCCACACTCAGCAATTACCATGGCTACCAGATGCAATTTTAATTGAAAAATCCGCGATATTAACAGCAAAGGACTCTGTTGCAGTGTTTTTGGGTAGTTGTTCTTCGTGCTGTTACTAATCGTTGGTCTCTTTGGAGCTGTTTCAACCAGAGCTACTCTCTTCACTCTGCCTCGCCGTATCTTGGCCCATTCTTGGGACTCTCCACCCATTTATTGACTTGAGCGTGGTTAATTATAACCAGCAAGTGGAGCAGCAAAGATTTGCAGC